ATTCTAAAATAATTGTTGCCATAGAGTCATTTATTGCCACAATTTTAAAATTTTTAGCAATAGAAAGACTATAGGGACGGTTATAGGGATGATGTCACGGTTTATATTAAAAGTTGATCTATTAGATTCGAGGATATATTGCAACAGTTATAACCGTTGTAATAGGGAACCTATTGCTACGATTGTCTAACTGTCGCTTCATAAGCATTGCAGTAAGTCAAATTTCTCATAGTGTTCACAATGTAGTCTTATGGGCTTTGAGAGTTTAGGTTAGGGGGAGAATATGGGTCACAAACTTGATACATTATCACTTGTGTAAACCTCTCATGTATTCTGAGTAAATTGGTTGAGGTTGTTTCTCTCTGTATTTTGTACTATCATATATATAGTGGATTGCTCATCTCCTTTGTAGATGTAGGTCGATTGACCGAACCATATTAAATATGTGTCTTTCGGTGTATTTCTCGTTTGACTTCTGACTCGTAGTCGTTCGAGGTTTGCTTTGTTAGTTTCCGCATTACACTTGCTTATTTTCTGTCCTAACAAATGGTATCAGAACAAAATTCAATGATGGAGTCGGTTCAGTGGTTCGATGATTGAACCATATTAGAAAGAGGTGTTCATCTTGACCGATTTAGTTCTAGCCACAGCCTTTGTATTGAAGATTTTGTTGGACAAATTATTTCACAGAGATTCTCTGTGTCCAGACATAGATTTGATGGAGGAGATTATGGAGAGGAGAAGCAAACTGTTGAAGATTATGCAAAGAAGGTAGACAAATTTATTTTGTCAGATATTCAGGTCAAGGGGGAGATTTATTGGGTTTTAATTGCCCTAATTTCTTATCATAAATAGGTTTTTCTTTTACGAAAAGTTTTTGGAATGACTATCTTTTTTCTTGTAGGAAAATGTTTAGGACTCTATAAATAAAGGCTTGTTCATTCTAAATTAATTAGCATTCACAATATAGTCTTAAGGGCTTTGAGAGTTTAGGTTAGGGGGATAATTTGTGGGTCACAAGCTTGATACGTTATCACTTGTGTGAACCTCCTATGTATTCCGAGTGAATTGGTTGAGGCTGTTTCTCTCTGTATTTTGTACTCTCGTATTTATAGTGGATTGCTCATCTTTTTTGAGGGTGTAGGTCGATTGACCGAACCACGTTAAATCTCGTTCGAGGTTTGCTTTAATAGCTTTCGCATTACACCTGCTTATATTCGATCCAAACACTTATAAGCCCGACCAATATAAGTCTTTGACCTTTGAGGCTTGATTAGGGTCGGCCCATGGGGCAAAACTTTTTATTCAAGGCTAACGTACACTAGTATATAATCTAATAACTTAAATACGTGTTATGTTGTAATATCATGAATCTTATCAAATTTTGGTTCGTCTACCATACATATATCTCAAAATTAGGATAATATGTTGTAGTTACACTCTATCCAGGTAGATTTGCATATATCTAAGAAACATAGGCAAATCTCGCGCCCTTGGCTCCCTCTCATCTTTCTTATCACTCTCGTCTCACTCGCGTATCTGTTATGCGAGATACATGCTAATTAGACTAGATTTCTTGCTAATGTTATTGAAACAACACAATTGTTTGTCGTATTTGATTTGAAAATCTTCTCATTTTCTTGATGCTAAAGGATTATAAGTTTAAAAAGAAAAAAGACATTAAGTGACACCTAAAGTTATTCCAAATTTTCAAAAAGATATGTTCCTATTACCCCACAAAACATCTCAAATTCATAATAAATACACACCTTTTACAAAATTTGCATTCTCAATACCTGAGCGTGAATCTCGCCCTAATTAATAATATAAAAACATTTTTTCCAACCTTTTTAGTTAAAAATGGATAAAATATTAACATATTCACATTTTTAATCATGACCCGCTCCATTTAACTCTAAACCCCTTTAAAATTTTAACTCTACTCTCTCTCTCTCTTTCTCTCTCTCTCTCTCGTTGATGATCAAAACCCTAAAGCATTTTAATAGTCACAATAAATTTATTTTGCGGTGATAATTTTTTGAATTATGGAGTCAAAACGAAGAAGTGAAGGCTCACATGTTAATTGCTTCTTGATTTGAATTCAAATTTTGATTTAATTTGTTCTTTTTATAATCAACAAATCATTTTTATAGTGCTTTGTCGTTATTTTCTTCTTGTGCTATATATTATTTCATGTGTATGTAGTGTTCATTTATGACTGATTTGAGTTTGAATGTTTCTTCACTAATTTAGTTTTGGAATTCGTTTTCAATTTCACTTTCAGGATTTACAAATTAGTTGATGTCATAACTATTAAATTCAAATAAAAAAATGAAAAAATTGAAGCTAGTAAAGCTAGATGAAAATTTCATTGAGGATGGAGAATTGTTTTGTTGTTGTAGATGCAAAGCTCTTCAACATATATCAATGGAGGTTTTGGAGAAGATGAGAAATGAGTCTTTTAATAAAGAAGAAAATTCAAATTGTCAGCGCCATGTGACATTTTTACACTGATTTGGGAATATTTTTACTCCTCCACGCGCCTATCAAATGTGAGAATACAGGTCTTCTAAAAATCGGTCAAAAGTGTTTATTTATTATAATTTTGATAGTTCCATGGGGTAATAGGACACCCGCAAACTTTAGATGTCTTTTAGAAAACTCAAGGGGTGCAACTGGCTCCTAATGCCAAAAATCAAGCCCGACTCGACCCTACTGAACCATTTGCTACTAGCGCGTGGAAGCCACATGAAATCAAGAAAACAAACAAGTATATCTCGGCTTAAAATTAAGCCCTCGTCTGGAAAGGCCCCTGTTAATTTATCTACAAAAGAAACAACTACTTCCAAGAGTTCATGTAAATAAATGGCTAACTAGCACAACAGTCCTTATTGGGCAGCCAAGGCCACCAAATATCTATTCGAAAACCTAAATGTATAGATCAAGATAATACACCAAATAACTCACAAGTTTCAATAAACCAACAAACTAGGTCAGTATGGCAGTAACGTACTTATAGTCCCCACAGACTAGTATCCAAGCCTCTAAGAGTATAAAAGATCGGTGAGACATAGCCCCATCCTACCCATAAAGATATATACAACAAAAGCTAACAAACCACCCAACTTTGGCAGCTCGGGAGGACAGGGACTAGCTAAACAGATAGATGTCAATCCTTCTCCTGAGGAGGTCTACTGGGTCGTCTGTCGGGACCTGCATGCATGAATGCAGCGCCCCCAGGAAATGGGCGTCAGTACAAACTAATGTACAAAGTATGAAACGTTATAGAATAAATGAGCAAGTATCATAATATAACAAAACCAATCGCGTAAGGAAATTAAAATTTAGATAAGCATGCTAACCCACTATGACTCTAAAAATACTATCAAACAACAACCTGACCAAGCCCCCATAAGCTCAGAAGTTACAAAATACATACCACCTTTGTAGGCCCCCATAAGCCCAAAAGGTGCCAACCGATGTACATACCCTTACCAGTAGCCCCTTGTCTTTGTAAGAAGATACATAGCCCTTTTTGGCAAACATATAACCCCGTAGGCAGAGTATAGCCCTCTTAGGCAACATCATAGCTTTGTGGGTGCACATAACCTTCCTTTGCATCAAGATATCCCCTATAGGCAACACATAACCCTCTTTGTCATCAAAATAGCCGCGTAGGCAACACATAATTCTCTTTGGCATCAATATAGCCTCGTGGGCAACACATAGCCTCCTTGGCAATAGTATAGTCTTATTAGACGACATTATAGCCCTATATGCAGTTCAAAGCTCAATAACAAACCACAATTTCCTAAAGGCGACAACAAGCAATTGAATAGGCTAAAGGCAAACAATTTAGCTATAAATAATATGCATAAATAATCTCCAAGTCGTTTCTAACTTAGGATCGTTCTTAACATGTTATGAGTCCCTAAAATAAGGGTTTATAACCACTTAATCAGCTAACCACTCACAATTACATCTACAAGATCGCCAACATTAACTGGACTGTGATATCACTCCTAAGCTCTAAATAAACATGTCAAACAAAGGGAACAACCTTAACATACCTTTTCCTTTATATTTTAAGCTAAAAATACCTCTGTCCGCACCACACTAAAAAAGGTAAAATCAATCAGTAATTAAGGATGAAAAATTACTACGACGACTCGACAATCGATTACGGATTCCTATCGAAAATTACAATCCAAGACCCAAGGTATTCGTAAAATGCTAAAAGGTGATTCCTACCTTTTATAATAGCTTGTATTATGTGTATGCTAGTTCTATTCATGTGACACTTGACATAGACTTATAGTATAGGTGAGGGAACATGTTTCTTATATGATTAGTGTTGGTTTAAACTAGATTTGAAGGTGATGTAACATCTTTCACGTGTACTGCAAGTTTACTCTGACAGAAGTATTTAAACTACAGATAGTAAGGTGGTAATTATGCTTAAAGTTGAAAGTTAAGTGCTAAGTTAAAGCAAAAGGGATTAATATTTTTCAAAAAATAGAATAAAATAAGTGAGTTTCTTGCTTGACTTAATTTAGCTAGTAGGTGACAAGTAGGGGCATCACCTGCTTTGACTTATCGACCAGCTCAAAGGATCAAGTAGGTGCATCACCTACTAAGAATCTTTTGACCATGTAATCGGGGTCAAGTACACTACCACTACTTGCATTAATCTGGCCCAACTAAGTATAATAATAGGAAAAATGGACATTCAAGGCCCAATAGTCTTACTTCCAAAAAGGCCTAAGTTAAAAGTCCAAGTAGGTGGATAACCTGCTTGCATTAATTATGGCCCAAATTGACAAGAATAAAGGGATAATTGACAGTAAGTCCCAACAAAGTTGAAGTCCCCAAAGGCCAAAGTTAAAAAGTCAGTAGGTGGGTCACCCACTTGACAATATATGGCCCAAAATTGACCAAGAAAGTCGGCCAATACACCTCTTTTTTAAAAGGGTAAAGATCAGATCTTTTGCACCATTTTTAACTTGTAAAAATTTTAGATTTCTTAAGTTTCTCTCTCGGTCTCTCTAGGCTTCAAACAGTGGCCCTAAAACACCTTAGGGTTCTTGAGTATTATCCCCCTTTTCAAGTAAAAGTTTGAAGGAGAGTTTTAGTTCTTAAAGTACGAGTTTAGAGGATAAATTTTCAGAAACTAAGGTAAGACTACTGCCCATTTTTGCCTATCTTTAAATACAAATTTAGGGTGGAAAATTTTATATATATCTATCAAGAACTAATGGATGGTGATAAATCCTTGTGTCAATATTCCCCTATTATGCTGAAAGATATTTAGAGATTGATAGTGGTTGTTTATGTAAATTGTTGTAGGAGGGAACTTGGTTATCTTGGCAAAGGATGTGGGAAGTTATATTAATGAATAGAAGAGGGGTGTGATGGTTCACCATTTGTGTAAAGGTTGTATGAATCTGCTTTCCGTCAAATGTTTAGCTAATAATTTTTGAGGACCTTAATGTGATTAGCTACTAACATTAGCTTAATCATGACTTATATTGTAGATTAGCACCCAAAAAGGAAGGTTGAATCGTGGTAGTTGAATTGGTCAGAAAATAAGGTATGTAAGATTATTCGATTCACTATTCTTCGGCATGAAATCTAGTACTTGCGATTAATATCGATAAGTGAATTTCCTAAGTTCTATTCCTAGTAAAGGAAACATAGTAGCATCGTACGATCTCTCGATACCTAGTGATATTTCCCCCTCTCCTTAGTGTATAGAATTACTTCATTTTATGTTTACTACTATACACTTGTGTAATTATCCTCCCATGTGGTGGTATAGAAATAGTATTTGCAAAAGCAAGTTTGGTGAATCCTCCTCTTAGTCAGTTGTAGTCAATTGTTTCATTTAAGCTCACAAGTAATGTGTCGATGTTACATAGCTCCTTATGTCAATGTTCCTGCCTTGAAGTATTATTGTCATGTCTTCTACTACTAGTTCGTATTTCCAAATCTCAAAAATTATTCTGACCACCAAAACAACAATCTCAAAAGAGTTATAATAATTATCCAAAAAACAATCTCAAAAAAGTTATGAACTGATACACAACAATCTTAAAGATTAAAGAACCTAAGTGAAGCAATATGTATAATTACGGGTGGCAGCCCAGGGGGTAGGGAAAATTCCTAGCATGGGTCGATCCTAATTGTTATATAAGGGTGTCAACTCAGGGGCGAAAGCCTAGCATGGACCGATCTCTATTGGTATCAAAAGGTGGCAGATCATGGGCGAAAGCTTAGCATGGGCCGATCCCAATTTGTGTAATTATGAGGACCTCATCCCATGGGTTAAAAGCCTAGCATGGGTCATACGATTCTACCACTGATTAGTTGGTCATTTGTATCACATGCCTTGTAAAGATCAGAATACACAAAAAGGTAAAAGACAAGAATGTAACATACATGATCCCACAAGAGTTAACAAAGGTGGTATTTATATTCTAATTTATGCACACATATATTGATACTTGGTTTCATTCGTACTCTTATTCTATATATGTTATTGCCTTACATATTCAGTATATTTTTTTGTACTCCGCTGCATTTCATGCTGCAGGAAAGGTACTCCAGCCAGTAGACCTCCTCATTAGGAGTACACGATACTTAACTACTTTTGGTGAGATCCAAGTTGATTCAGAGCTTTACTGAGTCCTTGGTAGATTCATTTTGGTATTGTATCATAGTTAAGGGTAACGCAGGGTCTGTCCCGACCTACTTTGAGGTTTCTATCTTCTAGAGGATTTGTAGACTTATGTATATGGTTCAGTTGGTTCTTAACAAGTTGTGGCCTCAACAGCCAAGTCTTGTATATAACTTTTGGGTCTACTTATGTTGGTTTTTATATCGCTACATCCTATGCGAACTTGTTATCAGGTGTATGTTTGTCTTAATGGGATTTGAGGCATCATACCTTATTTAAACAACCAGAACACTTGAATACAATCACCCCACTGAAAATAACCCTGCTGCCACAACCTCCACATACCAACACCGCTCAATTCACCATAAAAATTATACCAAAATGACGAGCTCGCGACGTTGTGCAGTTTTTGATAAGGAGTCAAGAAGAGATCATGAACACACAAGGATGATTTGAGGAGTAATTCTCCAATTTTTGTGGGTTTCTTACGGGTTGGAATGAATAAAAATGAATAAAATGCTCTCTTATAAGCTTCCACCAACTCAGGGGACCCACCTCACTAGCCTGCTTGCGTAACCTCGTAAAAATGCAAATATCTCTCTATTTTTGTAGTTGTATGAATAAACTCTTAGATGAGATAGAAACTAGACTTGTTGACCTTCAATTTAATGGGTCGTGGATGCCATAATTAATTATAAATTGGGAGATTTCTTACGAGACATTGAACCTAAATTTAAGAGAAAACTTTAAAAAGGAACTTACGATAGCTTTCTCCAACTTTTGTTATGCGACTTACCTTACTCTAAAACTTGATATACAACCCATGGACACTTAAAAAAATATGACATACCAAATCAGTTTTAATTTATCACTCACCCTCTTTGTCTTTCCATGAAGGTACGAGTTAATTTAGATGTTTCGAAAAGTCAAGGTGTTACAGTTCATTAACTTCTCAAATACAAAAAAAAATTATTTCATTTTGTTTGGGCTAATACCCTCCTCCTCCCCCCCCCCCCACGCACACACAAAATATTGTTATAATAAAATTTTGATATTTTTAAAAATCCCTTTGTATAATTACGAAAATGAGAAAAATTGTCTCAAAATAACTCTTTCAATTAAACAACTATCCAAAAATCAACACAAAAAAGGGATTCATTTAGGATTTATAGTAGCCAAAATAAAGTGAGAATTAGAAAAATGGATATATATATATATATATATATATATATATATATAAAGGATTCATTAAGGGTGTAATGATATGTACGCACCATACATAAACATGACTCTTAACTTGGCTTTAGTGGACAACTATACCCTCCAACTTTGAGTGTGCATAAATAGATATTTATGCTTGTATAAAATTGAACAAGTAGACACATGTGTCCAACATGATACCGTACACATAGGACATAAAATTGTCATGTAGGGTGTCATGTAGGACGAATGTATCAATTTGTTCAATTTTATTTAAGCTTAAGTATATACTTGTGAATACCCAAAGTTAAAGGTCATAGTTGTCAACTGACGTAATGTTAAGGGTCATGTTTATGTATTATGTCATAATATGTATGTATGTGGTTTTGTATGTGGCATAATACATAAACTTGATCCTTAACTTGGCTTCAGCGAACATTATGTCCTCTAACTTTGAATGTGTACACGTAGGCACTTAAACTTGCATAAAATTAAACAAGTAGACGTAATAGTTCTACATGACATAATGCACATAAAACGTCATGTAGGACTCAAAATTGTCATGTAGGATACCATATAGGACGAATGTGTTCATTTGCACAATTATATACAAGTTTAAGTGTCTACTTGTGCACATCTGAAGTTAAAGGTCATAGTTACGAACTGGCGCCTATGCATTATGCCTTTGTATGTGTATATTTTGTATATAGACATAATACATAAGCATGCCGCTTGACTTGACTTCTTCTGATACTTATGGCCTTTAACTTTGTCAGTGCACAAGTAGACATTTCAACCATCCAAAACTTGAACAGATGAACACTCTATTTTACCTTTGACACACGTGACTTGCATGAATTTCACGCACTTTGTCAGGTAGAAAAGGTAATACATAAATATGTTCTTTAACTTGGTCTCATTTCACAATTATGCACTTCAACTTTGTGTGTGCACAAGTAGACACTTAAACTTGTGTAAAATTGTACAAATCGGCACACACATCCTACGTGGCATAATCCATGAAAATTTGCATCCTACGCGGTGTCTTACGTGTTTTATATCACGTAGAATTCATGTGTCTACTTATTCAACTTTACAAGTTTGAGTTTCTACTTGTGAAGAACCAAAGTTGAAGGGCATAAAGATAATGTGAGTTGAAGTTAAAGGACACATTTATGTATGTCATAATACATATATTGGACCTTAAACTTGGCTTCAAATTTTAACTTTGACCTCCAACTTTCATAATGCACAAACAAGCATTTTAATTGTTCAACTTTTAAATAAATAAACACATGAATCTTACATGACACAATACACGTAGGACAAAAAATGACATTTAGGATGACATATAGGACATGTGTGTCTCTTTGTTCAACTTTATACAAGTTTAAGTGTTTATTTATGCACATCCAAAGTTGAAGGGCTTAACGTAATTTGAAGCCAAATTAAAAGGCACATTTATGTATTATGCCTTTATGTATTATGCCTATGTATTATGTCCAAATATTTCTATGGTGCGGATACATTTTAAATATGAACTTCATCTACAAAGGTAAAACATTGATAACGTCTTATTCAAATGCTAAATAAGGTAAATGATTAGAGAAGTCACATATTTTTGTTTTGACTTCTAGAAGTCATCCCGAAGAATAAAAATGGAAAATAACATTTAATTTTTGTCTCTAAATATTTTTTAGAAGTCAGTCAACTTTATTTAGTCAACATCTATAGTCATTTTGACTTGAAATATAATTTACAAAATCTTGGAACCCACTATATATATGAAAGTCCAGCCGACCAAAATCCTCAAAACTAGCAAAGCTTTTTGTTCAAAGGAAGCGACAACCATGCACGTCAAAAAGCTCATTTTGCAATAGAAGAAAAATCTCTCATGTAACGAGGATTGTGGATCTTCCATGGCTGATCATGACAGAAATCCTTTCAAGATTGTCAGTTAAGCCAATTTTCAGTGTAAGACTTATTCTAAACTCTAGTTCAATATTTTATCTCAGGACCTTTATATGTTAACATGTATCAAACCAAATCCCTTAACTTCCCCTTCATTTATCTTTTGGATGGTCATTCCAACCCTTCACTTCTAGAACTCAAAGCAAAGTATGCTTATTATGTTCGCCATTGTAATAGACCCATTCAATTACCCCGAAGTTTCACTTTCCTCCGGGGAGAGTGTTTATAGTTAGTTTGTATAACTGATTCATTTGCTTCTCGAATGGTCCAATGCCTATTCAGAAACATTTCATTTATATTAGTAATCCTCTTTTGGGTGAGCATTTTGAACTTAAATTGCCCGAATGGGAGATAAGTTAGTCAAATTGACTAACACTTATCTCCTATTTGGGTAATTTAAAGTTCAAAATATTCAACTAAAATAGGATTACTAATGGAAACTGAATGTTTCTCAGAATGCCTCAAATCATTCACCAAGCAAATAATTTATTACACGAACCAATTGAAAACACACTCCCTCCTGGAGGGTAGTGAAACGTAGGGGTCAACTGAATGGGTCATTTAGAGCGGGCGATAAAAATAATTATAACCTGCTCTGAGTTCTAGAAGCGAAGGATTTCCCACACCATTCGAAAGCATAAATGCAGGGCAATTTAAGGGATCTTGTTTAATACATTTTAACAAATAATGTGTCGGGATACATAAAGATTATACCAGTGTTTACAAACGCATTTACATCGAAAAATGGACTTGATTGACAATCTTGAAATAATATCGATCATAATCACCCATGGAAGATCCATAATCCTCATCCTTGACTAAAAGTTTGAAATACCAACATCAACGCGCTCTGAGTAAGCACTATTTGTAAAATATGTTCTATCCCAGAAAGAATAGACATTCAAGATACTACAAAATCAGGTGTCTCCATTTCTCAACCTGGTGCAGGAGGTGGAGGAGGTGGCTGCATCGACATATGTGGCATAGCATGGTGACCGTCATTAAAGTGCTGAGGAAGTGGTGGTGGAGGCCAAACATTACCACCCATTGAAGCTGGTGGTAGAGGGGAGTTATTTAAGGATGGAGCTAACGGCGGAGGGGGCATTCCTCTGAATTGCATTTGCTGCTGCGGAATACCACCTGCAGCTGGTTGCATAGACTGTCCCTGCCAAGCTTGTGCTGCAGGTATATACATTGGTGGGTAGACATTAGGCTGCATAGGTGACGGGTGAATTGCTGGAACAGGAGCTGGAGGCATAGGACCATTTGCAAAAGCCCGTGGGGGAATAGGAGCACCAATCGCACCATTGGCTTCTGGAACACTGAGAACTGTTGGTTTCCCATAAGGTTCTGCCATGGTCGGTACCTTTATTGCATAGTCAGCATCCTCTTCACTTCGGAATTCCACAAAACACGCTGTTTCTCGATATGATCAGTCAAACAGAGACAATTCCCCAACTCTGCTAGCCTCAAACACGAGGATGGAGTTTCCAGACCTGGTGGAGCAGGCAGGGACTTGATCTTTTCTGTCTCAATATCATTGGGAGTAAATTCTGTCATTTTCTTCACGATCCATCCAATGAAGAGCACCATTGACATTAACCTCACCAAAATTATACAATACAGGACACGAAATTTCACCCACATATCTCCATTCCACACCGACTCCAAGAGTATAAATTTCCAATTCCGATACTTTAGTATGATCCTGAACCTTTCTATTTACTAGTGTCAATACCTTATAATCTCAGTATTGCCTTCTTTCTATTCATTCTTCATGTGTATTATTCTGTAATTGTATGTATATTAGATCAAATTTTGAAATTTTAATATATCGTGCCTTTTGAATTACCTTTTTGCTCGTTTGATCTTCTTCCTATTTATCAGTCCTGGATATGCAGTATTGTTGACCAAAAGTTGTGAGATAGACCCCGACAGCGGCAGTGTGCTTGGTGTGGGAAATAGCCTTGCAAGGGTTAGCAAATATGATTTGGTTTGGGCCAATCCCGTGATTTAAGTGTCAATCTCGAGAAGGCTAGCACAAACAAAATTAGCACCTAAGTTGGCTAGTTTGGTAACAAGTGCAGGATCACTGTTGCACTTGACAGCACAGAAAAGTAGAGTAGTTTTTTCTTTTGCTGCTTCTTTGCATTGATTGATCTCATTTATATAGTTATAGAATGCCCATATGTGACGAAAATAAATCACACTAAATATCATTTATGTTACAAAATTGCATCCATGTTGCCTGATAGTTGAAGATCGCTACACAGAGATACACAATCTGAATTAATATGTGCTAATATTTGTTGAATACCTGCTTTAGGAAGCTTCAAGTGTCACACCTAATCAAATTCCTAATATCCCTACTTCCTTAGCTCTGACCGAACTCCTCTAGAAATGTTTATCATAGTGAACAGAGTTATTTAGTTCCTATATCGACATTAATGCATCTGCATTTCCGCTATTGTTTAACATATACTACTACTACTGCTTTGTTTAGGAAGTAACTATGTTTCTCTTACTCAATTAATAATGCAGTTGGGACATGGTAGCTCTTCAATAATTTGCAGACAGCTTTTGCTTGTAACCGCTGTCCACACCAGAGGATATTTTCATGGTTTAGAATGTTTAATAAGTGAATCCACTCTAAAGTTTATATACTGTCAACATGGTGGAATAACAGCACGCAAAAATGGCAAAACCACTGAAGCACTTTGTAGTAAAAGTTAAAAGGTAATCGAGGTATAGTTACGAAAACCATGCCAAAGGCAAACTGGTCCAAGCCTCCTATCAGCAAGTGACCTGCGTGCCATATGCTAAAATCTTATGTATGAAATCCGGATTTGACCTTTTTCTGAGGTTTATGTTGTGGATACGTCACTGAAGGCGAGGTACCCAGGGGTATCATGGGTAGCAAACGCTGCCCATTTGAACTGTATGTAGGTGAAGAGGAGGGACCCAAGTGCGGGGTTCGTGGACCTAGCTCTTTCAACTGTCTCAATGAGCCACATGGTTTACTGCTGCCATTTCCCATGCCTAATTTTCTCTTCTTCTGTAGTAGCTCCCACAGTAGGTTGTCCTCTTTAGCATGATCCCGTTCCTTCACTACAATCTTTACGATAAAACAAAAATTTTCAAACAACAGCATTGTCAGTAGCCTAAAAGGTTTACAAGTGTGCAGAGACGATATTTCTCAAATGCAGCTACTAATCAAACCAGTTTACAAGCAATTCTCATTTCGAAAATTGAAATATAAATAAGAAAACTGGATCCTAATTGAAGTTGTAATACTACAGAATATAGAAAAACTAAGGAAAGGAGACGTGCTACACAATGTTTAATGCACAGGGATTGAGAAAAGCATATGTGAGTGGCTGACTATTGTCTGTATAAATTCCATCCATATTAAGATGTTTCATTCACCATGTCTTTCTAAGCATATGTACATTCTCAGAAGCGTGTATTCCACCATCCAAACAATCATTGAATTCGTTAATTTTGGAAAAGTAACAATTTTAAATTCCTTCAATAGATAACTGAAGATCATAACAAGAAATATAACGAGTTCAAAAGGTTTTGGCATAAAAAAAATCAAATTCATATAATGACAGCAAATGAATTGTCACCAAATTACCAGCATATGTAGTATGGGAGGTAGATTTAATTACGAAATAGCATGATTCTTAGAGACAATGCATCCTTGACCACCCATAGTGAAGAAGTTTTTCTCTTCAGACTAAAGACATGGTTTACATTAACTGAATTTGCAGTAAGCTAATCAAGTATGATTAATACCTTCTCTTGCTCAAATAGCTCCTTTGATCCGTTCTTGGCTTTCGAAAGGAATCCTTGATATTTCCTTGCCATTTCTTCTGATTTCTTCAACTTGTACAACACCTCAAGTCTATTATGTTCTGCTATTCTTGCCTTCTTCCTTGCTTCCTCCAACTCTGTCCTCCCTGTTCTCATTGCTCCTCCCATCTCTTCCACTATGCTCAGTAGGTGATGACATCTTCCTGATCTGACTTCTAGCTTAAGACCCTTGACATAGTCGACCATTGGACTACACATTCTTGTGGCTAGCTCATCTACCAGGTTGTCCACTCCATACTCTACCGAGCTCAGTGTAGTAACAACAAGACGGAATATGTGTTTTAGAAGTTGAATTGTGATCAAAGAAGTGTCATTATTTTCACCTGTTTGGTGAATGGCAGAAACATATGCAACAGCTTTCTTGAAAACATTATGTATGGAATTTTGATGGTCACTAAGGGTCTGAAGAATGTTGGTTTGGCTTGTATTTACTTGGGATTCAACTTGTCTTAGCAGATGGATCAACTGCATTAGCTGCATCTCTTGTTTCTGGATTAGCTCTCTGCCAATAGTTTTGGCTCTATTCATATAGCCTTCTTCCTGCATTTACAAATTGAGAAACCAAGTTCACATCTATCATCAACCACTTTATGTCGAAATTCATGGGTATCTTTTGAAGAGTCATCCCATCCCAACAATTCATTAAGTTAGTGTTATTCATGAGGCTTGATACAAGTAGTATTTTGGCAACATCTTGAAGGGTATGTAGACAATTACCATACTATAAACTCAGCTTAGACCTCAATGCTAAACATCGATTAACATTGCATTACCACCTTAAAGATAACAAAATATTGGATACACACAGGCAGAGTGAGTAAAAGATAGAGTTTCAGATCTGTATGGAGCACCGATATATCCTTCAATCACTTCTGGATTTCATGCTTTTGTCATTTAAATGAAAACAGTGTCCATCCAGTTGCTTGATACACATATAGGTATCAAGATTAGGAGCTGGAAAGCATTGCCGCTCCAATTAATCTCAAGGTTCAATTACTGATAGAAATACACATCATACGCAGACTCCTGCTATTCTAATTATATCACACACTTTCTGTCTTGGAACATTACACTGTTTGAAACTATTACAATTTCACAAGTTTCAAAACGTAAAGTTCATTTAACTGTTCAAATTTTATACTCAGATTGTCTCTCTATCAAACTGGGCTTTCAATCACTATGAATAATGTAATAGGAGTGCATAAATTAAACTAACATCTTGAGCTTAGAGTCATATAAAATGAAAAGGAAAAGGAAATCTGCCCATTATCAATGCATACAGAAACTCAAACTCGTTACATATTACCTCAATTTCACTAGCCTCTTTTCTCACCGTCCTTTCAGCTCCATTCTCGTTTCTCTTGCAGTCCTGTCACCAAAAAAACATTATTTTTCGCTCTCTCTGGGGAAGTAAACATAGAATTGAGAAACCGAATATACATAGGTATATCTTGACGATTATCAACAGGCTCAAACAGCACTTCAGAGTTCAGATATTGATTAAACAAATGGAGATAACAGAGTATACGAGTTGGACGAAAGAGTACATCAGGATAAAAATGATCATAATCGAAGACAACAGTATTGATTTTTCCTTCCTCAGCCATTTCAACAGTCTTCAATCCTACTAGCTTCATCAGTGGATTAGCTAACGATTCAAACACATCAGCAGCCTTCAAAAAACCAAAACACAAATCAAAACTTCAAATTTACAACTCTCCATTTGCTTTAAGTTTTGACAGATGGAACGTAATATTAAAATTAGGACTTGTACTTCCTGCAAGCCAGTTCGGATCTGAAAATCTAGCTGATTGAAGGCGAGTTTGAGCTGTTCCTGATGAGAAACAATTCGAGAGAACTTAACACGGAGATCGCCGATCGACGGAGAAGGAGATGAAGTCGGCGCGAGGAATCGTCGCCGGCGGCCATTCATGGCTGTTTTTTTGGCGGGAGCACGCGAATATCGGAATTTGAAGGAGATACTGATTTTAATTTCTAATATGTTAAAAGTTAATGAGGAAACAAAACTTCTTTGTGCGAATTAACATAGTAAAAAATTTAAGGAATCCCATAGTGTAATTCAATAATTTCATTCTGTCCCGACAAATTTAGTATTTACAAAAAATCTCTTAAATTTGTTGAGCCGTGATACTTTAGACTCTAGTGATACATGGTAAATGATACATGGTAATTTTAAACTGTTGAGAAAAAAAAGGGGAAAAAACGGTACAGTTAATGTTGTTAATAAAACAGCTAAAATTTACGGTAACATATCATTAATCAACATAAAATCAGCACTTAATTGGATATTAATTTCAAATTTTGAAAAACAAAGATTATATCATCAATTTTGAAAATAATTTTTTTGAACAATCTGTTAAATTTCGAACTACAGTAATTTATTGTTGTTACAGTGGATTTTTCAAGATGAATACTTCGATTTTGATGAGACATTCCGGAATTTGGGTGAACGAATTGCAGAATGAAAGTTACAAAATCGATGGAATCGTTGTTGGAGATTCAATTTCGTATCTAATACATGTATCAAAAACATCGACTAAACAATATACACACTGATTCTATATGTATCATCAAGTACAATTGATGACGCATTTATTAAACTTAGTGAATGATAAATTATAACAATTTTCAAAACATGTATCAGTACATCAACTAAACAACTAATACGTTACTGATACATGATATCAGTTTTCAGAAATTCATACTATATGCAAAACATGTGATACATATCTACTACATGTATCAGTGAATTGACTAAACACTGTACACACTGATTCTATATGTATCATTAAGCACAGTTGATGACACATTTACTAAACTTATTGAATGATACATTATAACAATTTTTAAAATTTCATGATACATATAAAATATTATGATACACAACAAATTCATGTATCAATTCACCATCTAAAACACTATACACACTTATTCAAATGTATCGGCAAGCACACTAGATTCCTTAAAATTTTTACTAATTTCAACAACAGTTTTAAGTACCAAAATACTAACACGAGACAATGTAGGCCTAACAAACTTTAACTTTTTGAGTCCTGTTTGGCCTTATGCAAAGTTGATGCTAGAGGAAGAGGAAGGGGAAGTGGTAACTGGGAGAATGTATTGGGATGAGATGAAGATTGTCTACTTGTTTTTATCACCTTAACTTCTTCTAAGGCAAGAGGCACTGGTTCTTATGTTTTTGGTGTGTAAGCAAAAGATATGGAAGTAAGAACAAAACGGTAGAAAGATATGGAAGTTATCCTGCTTCCTGATTTTTTGAATTTTGAAATTCAAAATTTCAAAATTTGGTCTTTTATTTAAAATTAATTAAATTTAATAATTCAAAATCAAAAAGCTGATTAAAAGGTTTAGTGTTTAAATGAATAAAATTTAAAATTCAAAAACTAATTTAAGAGGTTGAGTGTTTTAATGGAGAAAAAATAGGCATTAAAATTGGTAAATGTGTATTATAGGAGAGAGAGTGTAATGTATCCAAAAAATTACACTAAAATAAAAAAAAAGGAATTATGTAATATTTAAAAAAAGTAGGGAAAATTAGAGAATATAAAAATTATAGTTGTGTATTTAAGTTATTTTTCCATTAACATATGAATATATATATATATATATATATATATATATATATATATATATATATATATATATATATATAGTAGGTAAAATTATGCAATAAAGCAAACTTATACTACTAAATTACTCATCATAACTATAGTTTGTTATAATTATCACTCGTGATTAACATTATATGTTAATTACGTGGGATAACTTCAAATTTGTATAATTAGTCATGTTTGTATGTGTATAATTCGCCAGAATATACAAATACATATGTATAATATACAATTATTTAACCTATATACATATACAATTCACCTCTCTCCCACTCTTTACCCTCACTCGCTCGTCTATCCCCTCACTCTCCCAATCTCGCTCGCCTCTCTCCTCCCTCTCCCAATCTCGCTTGCCCTATATACAAATGTATATGTATAATAAACAATTATATACATATACAATTCACCTCTCTCCCACTTTCTGTCTTCTCTCTCTCTCGAGATCTCGCTCGCCTATCTCCTCCCTCTTCTAGTCTCGCTCTGCTCCCTCTCACAATCTCTCTTGCCATATATACAAATACATATGTATAATATATAATCATCTAATCAGTTTAGATATATAATTCACTTTTCTCCAACTCTTTTCCCCCTCTCTCTCCCAGCCTCACTCGCCTCTCTCCTCCCTTCCCTCCTCCATATAACATGTAGCTAGAATTGTAATTATCAAACTATAGCTAGAGAATAATTAATTATTTTTAACTGGCTATATGTGAAAGTTTCCCTATATATTATTATATATAAAGAGAATAAAAGTTGGGTTGAAATAGACGGTCCAAAACGGAATCGAAATTCATAATTGAATCTAAAAGAAGTTATTAATTATTATTAATGAGTATTGTTTAACAGATTTGATTTTCTTATTATCGAACTATTGATTTTTAATGATTGGAGATTTTTTCTTAACAGTTAATGATAACCTTATAGTAAACTAATAAATTATATTTTATTTTATTCTATATTTGGTCTTTGACTTAGGATATAGTTTTCATTAGTTGAAATCTTTTCATATTGTTTCAAAATTATCACATTGGTTTATTAAGCACAGACGATGAATAAAACTGCTTCTTTTTTAAGGGGAAATAGGGGAGGGGATCACAGTGGCAATCTAATTCTAACCAACAATCATCTAGCTAACCAACTAAACTATTAAAATTTTCCGATAAATATAAAAAAATTGATAGGATGAGTAGAAAAAACAAGGATTAATTACTTGAGTAGATTCTTTTTAATAAATAATTACTTATTTTAAATATACTCTTTAATTATTACAATTTGTAGCAATATATGACATTATTATGTATTTTATTAAATTGTCTCTCTCTTTTTTTCTCACTTTTTCGCTCTTTTTTTCTCTCTCTCGCTCTCTTTCTTCACCTCTTCTCTTTACCCACTTCTTTTATGTTCTCTTGTTCGATCTCTCAAAAAAAGAGAAGCAACTAAATTAAATGCAAAATGTGGCAAATAAAAGAGCATCTTATTATCTATAAATTGAATAAAATTTGTATCAATAATTAAATAAACCAATAATTTAATAGTAACAAATCAACCAATAAACTGTAAAAGTGAATTAAACTTGTATAAAAAGTATATAAAACAAATATTAAAGTTGAATTAGAAGAGAGAATTAATCGTGAAACAAAACGTAACTAATGAAAGACCAAGCATTGATTATAGAGTGAATTAAACTTGTATCAATAATGAATTAAACAAGTAATTCAATAGTAACAAATCAACCAATAAACTACAAAATGAATTAAATTTGCCTTAAAAGTGTATTACACAAATACTAAAATTGAATTAGAACATTAAGCATGAATGAAAAAAGTAACTAATGAAAGACAAAAATGATCTACAGAGTGAATTAAACTTATATTAATAATAAATTGAAAAAGTATTCTAATAGTGACAAATATCAAACTACAAAATGAATTAAATTTGCATTAAAAAAAGCATTACACAATATTAAAGTTGAATTAGAAGATAAAATTAAGAATAAATGAAAATGTAACTAATGAAAAACATAACAATAATAATCTATAGACTAAATTAAACTTGTATTACTCTTGAATATAATTTATTGTTTATGATTTTAATACAATTTAAATATATATATATATATATATATATATATATATATATATATATATATATATATATAAACAACTTTAATACAATTGTGATATAGTTTCATATATATAACCTTTTTTTTTACTTTCAATCTAATATTTCTCCTAAAATCACTTATAAACTTAATCAAACCCTCTTAAAATTGAGATATAATCTCCAAAAATTAAAGCCCTCACCGGCCACAACCTCCAGCCCCTCTATCTTCTCCGTTCACTCACAGCCACTCTACGTCGGCCGGCGTCTCGGCAACCAATAAACACAGCGGAGCAGCAAGACTCTTGCCTGTCGTTTCTCAGTCTCTCAGGGCGACGGGCGGATTCCTTGCGATTTTCTTAATCAATTTGAAGCTTTGATTCTCCTATTGGAACTGAAGTGAAGGTTTATGACCAACTGAAGGGTTTGTGGAAGAAGATCAACTTTTTTTCAATGGATCCCAAATATGTAGGAGAAACCTTGAAGCATCTGGAGAAAGAAAGTGAACTATCTTGAGTGCCCATAAAGCAATGTGATATTCTACACGACCTAATAATTACTGATTTTAACTTTTCATCAAAGTGTGAAACAGGTTGTCTAACGTGTTCCAACAAAGCAGTAAAGACAGTAAGTAATTACGTTGAAACACCTAGCTCAAAAGGTGTAAAAATCATGACTTGTACCCTTACAGGATTTAACTCCAACTTCACTAAATCAACTATGAGCCTCCAGATAAGATAAATTACAAACTTTGGAACCTACCTTAACTGCAAGTTATGGATTTGGACTACAACTCTTGTAATCCTAGGAACTAACTCTAATTCCTAACCTTCAACACAAACCTCCCAAGGTATGTGTTCCCAACTCTTCAAGTTATTACAACCTGAAGACAACACTCCTATTTCTGTTTATAACTCACTGAAATAAGATTACATCAATACTCATTCACAAATAAAAAGACTCCTAACACATAAACTCTGTAAAAGGATCAGGTTCTTCGATGTGTTCCTTCAGTTCGTTGGTAGCACTTCCAAAGTGAATTCCCCAATCGCTCTTTTGCTTTGTAAGTGCACAAGTATTCTGAACGACTTCACTTCTATTTAAGCATAATTTATCATAGATTTATTATTCACTTCAAACTCCTTATTGACTTGAACTCTCTTGACTTAGGGTTCTACTTCAAGTAAGACCCCTTCTTCAATTCAAACTCCTACCTTCTTTGCACTTATTCTTCAAAT